GGTGCACACCTTTAATCACAGCTCTTGGGAAGCAGAAGCCAGCCTAGTCTACAAAGCAAGTTCCAGTACAGCCAGGGCTACACAGAGAAACCCTATCTTGGAAAAAAAAAACAAAAAAGAAAGAAGAAGAAAGAGGAGGAAGGGGAGGAGGAAGAGGAGGAGGAGAAGGAGGAGCAGGAGGAGCAGGAGGAGAAGAAGACTCAAGCTGTAAACAACTCAGGAGTCTCAGGAAAATCCTGAAACTGACCAGACACACAAGGTCCCTCACTTGCCAAGTAGAAAGTAAGGCTCTCCGGGGAGACAGAAATCAGATGAACTACCTGGCTGATGATCAGACTAGCCAAGTCACCTACAAGGGACACTCTTCAGCCTGTAGAGCTGCCTAAAAGTTATGCAGTGCGCTCTAGGGTTCCCGCTTTCATGAGCTGTCAGTTGTGCTGGGGCAGGCTTTCAGTAATAACAGTTGCCTTTATGTCCTTTCTGCTCCCGGAAGTAACCCTTTACCCACAGTCTTGGAAGTAACCCCACTAAACCCGCTGGTCCTTGAGCAGTGTCCTTACATAGGTCTGTGGTTGCTTCGATTTCTGGGTTCAGTGTACATTTTATTCACATCTCCCCAGGAACAGTCTCCCCTAAGACTCCTAACAAGCTCAGATTTATTGAAGAAGGGAAGGTGTGAAGCAGGTGACAGCGGTTAGGAGTGTTGTATTTGTCAGGACCCAGTGCAGGCAGAAATAACTTTATGTTTGGTGTGTTCTGTTTGGTAAGAGAAATCTAACCAATGACGTCCTAATGTTCCGACTGATCTTTTTTTGTTATAGTCTTTGTGAGTAGTGTTATCAGAAAGGTATGCATTTTGAATTTTCCAGTACATGTCTCTTCCTATTAATCAGAATGGATGGTACATATGCCCATTTCGTAGGATTTGAAGCATAATCTTACTGTTTTTACTCATTGTGGGGGCTGATAGCCCTCCTAACTATCACTTTTATGGCATACCCTTTGTCTTATATGTGGCTTTTTCTTAATGCCAATCCCTTCTTCAGGGACAGAATTCTTTATTATGACACAAGGAAAAGCATTATCTGATCTGTAAGTGTGTACTTTATGTTCAGTTCCCAAGGGTGGGATTTGGCAAAAGATGTCCAGACAATACGAACCAAAATG